TGAGCCCCAGGTGTGGGCCGAGCAAACCACCGTCTCCCCTCTTTTAACCCGAGGGGCTCCAGGAAGCTCAAGCTCCAAAGGCTGCTTCTCTTTCCTATTCACCTGGAGCCACTACCTGAGATTCCCTGCTTAGAAATGAATTCCTCTGCATTGAGTATCAGCTCCGAGCCATTTTGAGAAGAGTAAAACATCACCAATGACCCTTCACATGAGTAGGTTTATCAGATCGCTTTTCTCCGTGGCAAGAAAAGTCCCGTTTCACAACAACACTGTATGTATGAGTTTGAGCAAGCTCCAGAAGTTGGTGACAGGGAAGCTGGGCACGCTGCAGTCCACGGGGCTGCAAAGAGTTGGACACGACTGAGCGACTGAACTGAGTGTAAGACAGAGCACGGAGATTGGCAGGCAAGATGCCCCACAAATGCAACATCTTACCGTGTCCTTGCCACACCCCAGGCTGCAGGCGGTAGGCAGACAGAGGTACCCCTTCCTCCTCACAAGCCAGTTCCCCCACCTCGGGAGATGATACTATAGATAAATTTTTAAAGTTCTAATTTACTAAGCAATTATGTGTACCAGGTGCATGGGGAAAGCACTTTACAGCTAAAATCGCTTTTATGTTTTACCATAAATCCACGAGGTAGCTAACTATGATTGCCTGTACTTAACAGATGGGTAAAGATCTGAGGCTAAATAGTTGTGTAATGATGAAACCAAGATAGTATTCATGATAGCAGCATGTTGCAGATTAAAGAAAACTGCACCAAAAATCAAGACTTGAGTTTGAAATCCAGCTTTCCCAATCAAGAGCTATATGACCTCGGATGACCTCAGAGTCTCGGTTTCCTCTTCTGTAAGATGAGGAACCCAATGACCTCCAGGGTGCGCCCAGTTCGGACATCCCATGAATCTACTGAGATATAACCCTCCATCCACCAAGGCCTCCCATCCAAATACACACTTTGCCTTGAAGGCAGTTTAATTAGCCACCCTGTGCCCCAGCTCAGAGGAGCAGACAATTTTCAGAGAGTGGCCAGGAATTAACAACAGTTGTCTTTCTTCAGTTTTTAAATTAAACTGAAAAAAAAAAAAAAAGCCACTCTAGTGCTAATAAGATCAATGCCTGGGCATTCAATGGGTTGGATGGAAAATATCAACCTGAGTGGACAGGCCAATGGGAGGCAGGCTGGCATGTTACAGTTTGTGTTCCTGTAACCAGGGATGGGAGGCTTAGGGCTTCAGCTGTTCCATCAGCTGTGACCTGTTCATGTTTCTCAACTCTCAGAGCTACCCTGCATCAGGCAGAATTACTTTCCACAAGGACACATGACAGGTGGCCTCGGGTCCCCACATAGCCCCCAGGAAAGCCACGGTGACCAGGCCTTGCCACAAACAACTTTTCAAAAGAGGAAGTGCCTTCCTTTATAATCCGGAGGAGCCTTCATCCGGGACCTACCTCTTGCTGATTCATCTCACGTCAATCTTGATCATCCCACGTGGAGTCCATGAATAAGCTACACCTGGCGCTGGTCATAAATATCAGCTTTGCCGTTTATTAAGAACACCTGGGTTGAAATTCCAGCTTTGCCACTTCTTAAAAACATCGCTTGACACCTCCAAGCCTCAGCCTCCTCACCTGAAAAATTGGGATTGAGTACTTTACAGGGTCGTTGACAATATTAAGATCCTACTTATATGGGAACAGGTCTAGCCCAGGAGTCACATACATTAAGCACTCAATAAGTATTTGTTAAATTTCAATCATAAGTTGTAAGTCTCCAAGCCTCAAAGAGGAAAGTTAAAGAGTGTATGTCACTCAGGGAAAAAGATTACAGAATTCTGCCGCCCTCCAAAGCCAATGGAGGGACTTCCCTGGAGGTCCAGTGGTTTACACTCGGTCTTCCAATGCAGGGGGTGCAGGGACCTAAGATCCCACATGCCTCACGGCCAATAAGCCAAAACATAAAACAGAAGCAATATTGTAACAAATGTAATAAAGGCTTTTTTTAAAAATGGTCTACATCAAAAAAACTTTTCTTTAAAAAAGGACAGTGTAAATTTAATTCCATTTATTCTGCAAGTGTTTACTTGCTGAATATGCTAACTATGTATTGGGCACAGGTATCAAGGCCACAGAAAAGAACAAGACACACAAGAACTTGCTCCCATGGGATTTATTTACTGTGCTATTTGGAATTTTCTAAAGTTTAAATCTATTTGGGGACCACAGTATCCTACTGAGCTATTAGGCCATGAAAATCCAGTGTCCAGCCTCCACATTTGGCCTCAGCAGAGGGCTCTTGCGACACTCTCCGTGGTGGCCCTATCACCGAGCACATTCCCAGGCTGGAAGAACTATGACTCTGACCCAGTGTGACATTTCTTATATCCTCAGGTATCCTTTCTGCTGGCCTAAGGGGACAGGCTGCATAGTGAGTATGACACAGCCTCTCTTCCCCCCAGTATGTACCTCAACACATGGCTAGATGATCCATGAGAAAAGAGCTCTTTGTCTTCACAAGTTCAGGAAACTATGCCTTGAACCAAGTTCAACAGGTTTCTTGGCTGCAGGCCTTATCAGAGCCTTTAGTAAGCTGAGGATTACAGTATGCAGTCTTTGACCACGGAACACTTCTTTATTCCAGAGTATATGGTAAGTCTGGCCTTTCCCGACACACATTTGCAGACACTCTGGATTCTTGGAAAGCAGTCAGGAGCCCTGAATTCTGCCACTGACTCACTCTATGGTCTCAAGCAGGGCAGGGTACCTCCCTAGATCTCAGATTCCTCATCTAGAAAATGTATCTGTGTGTTCAAGATGGGGCAGGAAGGTGATGAGGAGGAGAGGGGAAGCTGGACCACATCACCTCAAAGGTCCCTTTCAGCAGGACAAGTTCATGATCTGCAGGGTCACCAAGCTCCCTGGTGTACTAGCTGGCTCATGACTCTGAGTGTTGGCCCACAGGTTCCAGTGGCCCCTCAACACTCAGCACCCTTGGGTTTGACTGTGTCATATTCTTCTTCACTCCAATGACTGTTCCTACTTCCCTTCAGTTCTATTAGTGTAGTGTAGTGAAAATCACTCGGCCGTGTCCAACTCTTTGCAATCCCATGGACTATCACCCACCAGCCTCCATGGGATTCTCCAGGCAAGAATACTGGAGTGGGTTGCCATTCCCTTCTCCAGATGATCTTCCCAACCCAGGAATTGAACCCTGAATTGCAGGCAGATTCTAAGCCACCAGCTTAGTGATCAGTTCTATTAATGGCCTCTCTATTCTATGGCCCACTAGTTCTTGAAAGAATGGCTCAAAAGCTTGTGTTAGCAGTCAGGTGGTATCTTGAAGATGCTCCAGGATCAGCGAGTCAGTTCTATCCCATCTGAACCATTTCAGAGGACCAGGGGACCAGGGGAAAACTATGCAAATAGTATGAGCTAATACTCTATATTGAAGTGGATAGTCTTTCCCTTCTCCAGGGGATCTTCCCAACCCAGAGATCGAACCCAGATCTCCCAAATTGCAAGCAGATTCTTTACCATCGGAGCCACAAGGGAAGCCCTTAACATGATAAACCATGTACAAATCAATGTCTATATTAGTCCTGTATCTATATCTATCTACCTATGTATAGATACAGATATTATACAGACATCTGATAAATACTGACATATATGTTTATATACAGAGTTTTCCTGGTGACTCAGATGGTAAAGAATCTGCCTGCAGTGCAGAAGACGCAGGTTCAATCCTGGGTCGGGAAGATCCGCTGGAGAAGCGAATGGCAACTCACTCCAGTATTCTTGCCTGAATACTTCCATGAACAGAGGAACCTGGCGGGCTATAGTCCATGGGGTCTCAAAGAGTCGGACACAACTGAGCAGCTAACACTTTCACTTTCAGACATCTATAACTATTTATTTATCTATCTATATCACCCATCAAGAAACAGAGAGAGGAGAGCCTAGAAAAAAATCCAATAAGATATTAGCAGTGGTTTTCTCTGGGTCGTGGATAATGTGGGACTACTATTTTCATGCTTAAACTTTTCTACATTTTCCAAATGTTCATCAATTTGCATATATGCTTCTATGATGCAATGAAACTAGCCCCTCCCCCCTTTTAAAAAGTCACTTAGTGTGACTTTGGGTATGAAAGAAACCATCCAGCAGATTCTGTCAGATTGCCCCAGCTAGAGTCCTCCGCGTTCCTTCTCCCATTACCTTGGCTTGTTTCCCTGATTCCTAATCTCAACACCAACTCCCAGGCAGTTTTTAATAGCTCCCCAACTGAGCTCCTGGCATTTCCATGTGACCTCTGGCTCTCGGTTTATGCAGGCCCCAAGGCCTCAGAGTAGCCACATATATTTATGCAGGCTGTCCACTGCACAACTCTAATGTTTACAGTTACAAAGATGACAACATGTATGGCCCCTCCTGAGTTGTGCAGTGCATAGTCCATACAACCTTACATAGCAGCCCTCCCTGATGCCCTGAGCCATTACTCACAATCCTGTAAACATTTGCAGTGAAGTGCTATGCAGAATACAGCATAGCTGGACCTGGGAGGCAGCCACCTAATGTATCACAGCATGGGCTCTGAAATCTAACAGCCTTCTTTATACACTGAGTGGCCTCAGACAAATTTATAAACTTCTCTGGCAGATCAGCTTCAGTTCCTTTACCTGTAAAGTGAGCACCAGTACCTATCCCCCGGTGTTGTTCTGAGGATTCAAGGCAGTTAAAATACAAAGCATGTAATCAATTTTCTGTCCCATGGTAAGTGCTCAATAAATGTTAATTACTGTAAGTATGATTTGCTCTGAAGTCACACACAGACACCTAGAGACAAGCTCTTCAATGCTAATTGAAACTTGCATTCTTATTACCTCCATCTGGGTAGGATGGGATGGGCAGGGGCGGGGGGGGGGGGGGTGTGAGCCAGGGTAAAGATGAGTTCCTTGGGGCCAGAACTGGATCACGGGTGCTCACTAAGGTGTTGATGGCAGGGGACGTGCCCACTGTGGAGGAGGTAAGACTTCTTGTCTGCCCAGCATCTCTGAAGGATACCCCCCCTTCCCTACCTGCAGCCAGGTGGTTCACGTGGGCTGGCTCCAGCCTCTGAGCTTCAGACAGCGCTCATCAGAATGCTCCTAGGTGGAGCTTTGCTTCAGGAAATGGGCAGGTGACCCAAGCCAGGTCAATCGTGTCATTCCTGGTACTTAGACTGGAATTTGAGGAATGATGCTCTTCTTTTTTTTTCTCAGATAATCGACTTGGAGGACAATGGAAGCTGGGAGGGGCCAGTGGCTACCTTCGTCACTGATGAGAAAAGCCAGTGCAGAGATGAGCAAGAAGGTATAATGGGGCGAGGTGGGTGGGGTGGGGATGAACAGAGAGGCACGGGGACCTCAAGTCATGCCCACAGCCCAAGAGCCACCCATGGACTTTCAATGCTCCTGAACCAAAACATTCCCTCTATGCTTTTCTTTTTCCTTAAACTGATCTGAGTTTGCAGCCAAGTGCCTTGGCTAATATGCTCAAGAAATGTACCTGTTGGGGCAAGTCACAACTTCCCAGAGCCCTGGAGCGTCTCCTGCATCCCAGCTCTTCAACACTCTGATGCTAAGCCAATGAGCAGGACCCAGGAGGCCCTTCACTTTCTCTGTGCCCTAACAGACCCTCAAACACCTGGCCTGTCTTGGCCTAGCTCAGCCCAAAGGCATGTAGACTTTGCCAAGTCATTTACACTGCCTGGGAAACCCCCATGCAACCAGGGGCCCTTCCTGGTCCCTTGACTTCTCTTTTCTTTCTGCATCTGCTGGGAGTGCTAACAAACAGTCCGGCAGAAACCAGAAACAGGCATAGCTCCTGCAGGGCATCCATATGGAAATCCATGGCTGCAGAAGAAAGAGGGAAAGGACCACTTTCTTTCTCTGAGTGACAGCTACGAGAACCTATAGTTCATTCCTTCCTCCACAGTCCCATCCCATGCACAGCTTTCCCGGCCTGAGTCCCTCCACGTGGTCCAGCTCTTGGCTCAGCTCCAAGCAAAGACACTCCTGTAAATGTAACCTGGGGACTTCCCTGGTGGTCCAGTGATTGAGAATCTGCCTTACAATGCAGGGGACGTGGATTCTATCCCTGGTCCAGCAACTAAGATTCCACATGCATACGCACTGCAACTACTGAGTCCCAGTGCCTCAGAGAGAAGCCCATGTGCCGCAACTAACACCCCATGCAGTCAAATAAATAATGCATACAATAAACACTCAAATGTAACCAGAAGCAGGGAATCCAGCCGTGGAGGAGGAGTTTGGAAGAAACAGCCATCCCCAGCCAGATGAGGCCAGAATTAGAGCCCTTCTGAGTAGCCACAAGGAGCAAGGCAACTGAAGAGGTTTACAAAGCACCTGTGGAACTGCTTTGCTGTTATAAGTGTCTCATTTCAAAATTCCCTGCCAGTAGTGTGCCTCGCTGGCTCATGGGAGCAGCCGTGAGCATCCCCTCCCAGGCTTAAACATCTAATAATACCAGTCCCCCTCCCCCTTCCCCAGGCAGATGGGCCAGGACAGCTATCAGACCCACCTGGGTTCTGGTGTCGTTAAAGAAATCGGCACCCTCCTAGGTCATCCATTAAATGAGAAATTAATCCTCATAATCTTGTACTTTGACTAAAATTCCGTGTGAAGTCATCATAATCACTGCCACAATCATTGCTACCCCTGTACCAGACACTCCACTAAACCTAACAACAACCTACCAGGAGGTTTATTATCACCGGTTTACAAGTTAGTTGCCCAGGAACTCGCTTAAAAGAAGGTATGTGCCCCAGAAGAGCTCAATCCCAATGAATTAATTAATAAATAAAACTTACTGAGCTATTAACCTCCGACAGGCATGTTCATCCCTGCTCTCCATGGAGCACCACCACCTTTATTTATATTCTTCCATGTGACTTGGTTCCAAGAAAAGTCACATGGTGTCACATCAGTTGAAGACCACTGGAGTTTTAGAGAGACCCAGTTCTTCAAGAGAAAGAAGGTCAGGGATCAAATTCTGGCTCTGCCACTTAACTAGCTGTGTACCTTTGAATAAGTTAACTCGCCAAGCTGAGCTTCAGTTTGCCCATATGAAAAATGGAGCTCAGAATACCTATCTCTCTGGGGTTGTGTAGGATTTTGAGACATTTGTAAAATGCCTCACAGTGAGTACAAAGAAAGCACCTGGTTTTATTAGTAGTTAGGTACTATAATTGTTTGATATGGAGCAGAGTGGTGGGCTTGATGAATGGGAGGATGGTGAGAGCAGAGAACCACTGAAAGAAGGCCCAGGAGAGGGGGGCTGATAGGGACTGGATGGCCAGTGGGACAGAAGTCACCAGATAGCAAGGTGCAAGGGACAGAGAGGTTGCAGAGTGGACCAGAAACTGTGAAAAAGTGAGTGCCACAGAAGACAAACAGCTTCCACTGCCACCGTGCCAAGGACGCCATGGCCTGGAGCCCAAGAGCTGGCTGGAGGCAGAACCCCCACAGGACCTCCCTTCCAGAAGGACCACTTGTCTAGATGCTGAGTAAAACCAAGACCCTTGAATCGACTTCCTGTGCAAAGGGGTGGAGCCTCGAGACATTTCACTTGCTCACTTGTTCTTTCATCAACAGATAAACAGCCCCTCTGTCTCCCCCTACCTCTTTCCCCCATTGCTCTCCCGGAGGCCGAGTGGAAACGCTCCCCAGAGCCTCCTCTCTCTGCAAAGCCATGGGAAGGAGACTTTTAAAAAGCAAATATTCAGCTTCATAAACATGTCATAAATCCATAACCAGTTCTCCACGTTCTTCGTGTTTTTATGCAGTGCATCTACTATCTATCTACCCCTTGACTTTGAGCCCACATTTTTGTGTCCAGGTTTCTAGGAAGTGGCTGTTCACAGGAGATTTTATTGCCATTTATTACTTTTGTGTGGACAGGGCAGTTGCTTCTTTTTTATTTATCTCCAAGAAAAATGCATTCCTGTGGCACTCAGACAAAACATGATATTAGATATATTTTTTTCTTTTTCAGAAGAAGTTTCTTCTACTTCTGGTAAGAGATTGTCTAACCTGGATCTCCCGGAGGCCGTTTGCCTTCTAGGTTTCAGGGTGGTTCTCCCTGCATGGAAACCTACATCTATTTCCTTGTCTCAGAACAAATGTGCTTGAGACAAGCACCTCCTGATGCCCAACAAGCTCCTTACAAATTCTATCCATAAATAGGCATAAACCACCAAATGAGAGGGGAGCCAACTCGATTAACCAGTATTCAACTGGAACTCTTGGTTAACCAAAACTTTGAACTTGACTTCAAAGGAAAAGACTAAGAACATGGAGGAAAGAAGCTAATACTAGAGAGTTAGCTTTAGAAACAACCCCCTTCCATGGGACTTCCCTGTTGGTCCAGTGGTTAAGACTTCACCTTGCAATGCAGGTGGTGAAGGTTTGATCCCAGGTTGGGGATCCCTGCCTCGTGGCCAAAAAAAACAAAACATAAAACAAATAATATTGTATCAAATTCAATAAAGACTTTTTAAATGCTCCACATCAGAAAAGAAACCCCATTCCAGTAACTGTGGTTATTAATATTATATTATTACTACTTATACTATCTGGAGAAGGAAATGGCAACCCACTGCAGTATTCTTGCCTGGGAAATCCCATGGACGGAGGAGCCTGGCAGGCCCCAGTCCACAAGTTTGCAAAGAGTCAGACACGACTGAACGACTAACATTAATATTATAGCCAGTACTTACCAGGAGCTCACGGGATGCCAGATACCAGGCTAAGTAGTGCACATGCACTGTCTAATTCCATCCTCACAACAACCCTTGAAGAAGTACCCTCTTCATCCCCATTTTACAGATAGAAAGCTGAGGCTCAGCGTGGTTAAATTATTTGGTCAGTCACGCAAGACTGTCCTCAAACCCAGGACTCTGATTCTAGAATCCACAAGCTTAACTACTCTAGGAAATGAGTAAATTCAGTTCCAATATCTACACCTCCTACTAAAACTAAAAGAGCCCATTGCCCCCCTCTTTTTACAATCAAGGAAATGGATGTCCCCCAAAAAAGGAAGCCTATAGTCACCCAGCCAGCCTGTAGGTACCGACAGAGCCAGGTTGTGGAACAAGCTCAGCCCTCAGGACAGTACCCCAAGGCTGCGTGTTCACAAAATGGCACAGGGGTTTCCCTGGTTGTCCAGTGGTTAGCACTTGGTGTCCCACTGCAGGGGGTGACTCCGGACTGATGATGTTACTCCCGTTTCACAAGTGGTGGGGCTGAGGTACAGAGAGATTAAGCACTTGTTCAGGGTGTGCTAAATTTATGTACTATTTGTATAAAACTGCTTCCACAAATATTTTCTTATTTGATGCCATAGCAAACTTCTGATTCACAAATATTTCATTTATTTTAATTTTTAAGTAATTTATTTTTTGCCACACCACATGGCTTACAGGATTTTAGTTTCTCACCTAGGGATCAGACCCAGGCCCCCTGCCATGGAAACATAGAGTCCTAACCACTGGATGACCAGGGGAGTCCCAAATATTTTCTTATTTTTATCACTTCCATTTTAGAGATGGAGAACTGAAGTTTGTGTTGGCCCTACCACTTCTGAGCTATGTAAGCTCAAGCAAGCTTCCAGCCTAATTTCTGTAAAATGGTCAGAGTGAACCAGACTCTCTCTGAATTCTCCCTGCTCCAACTCCCAGCTGGAATATCCAAGGTGACAAAGAGAAATGGCCTTGTTCTCTGGAATGTCCTTCCCCTACATCTGGCAAAGCTGAAGTCTCTTGGCTTTAACATAGGGAGGCTGGCACCTCCACAGTGGTTGTTAGCAACTATGTGGCTTAATTATCCGTGTGCCCAAGGGCAGAGGAGAGGGGGTGAGTTTTTACTCTGATTTAATCAAAGCCCAAGAAGGCTGAGCACCGAAGAACTGATGCTTTTGAACTGTGGTGTTGGAGAAGACTCTTGACAGTCCCTTAGACAGCAAGGAGATCAAACCAGTCCATCCTAAAGGAAATCAGTCCTGAATATTCATTGGAAGGACTGATGGCTGAAACTGAAGCTCCAGTACTTTGGCCAACTCATCAGAAAAGACCTTGATCCTGGGAAAGATTGAGGGCAGGGGGAGAAGGGAGTGACAGAGAAAGAGATGGTTGGATGGCATCACTGACTAAATGGACATGACTTTGAACAAACTCCACGAGATAGTGAAAGACAGGGAAGCCTGGCATACTGCAGTCCATGGGGTCGCAAAGAGTTGGACACGACTGAGCAACTGAACAACAACTAATCAAATCCTGCTTCACTCAGCCTGAAGCCTCTAGGACCTTGTCACAATTCTGCTCAATGAACACCTGATGGATGGTCTGGGGCTGGCTTCCCCTGATGTGATGCTGAGGAATTGACATGGGGAGTTCATCCATGAAAAGCCCTGGGGACATCACCCCAGGGAAGAGCCACATGGGAGACAGACACGGCCACCAGGCCATGCCTCTCAAGGTCAAAGCAGCAGGGGAACTCCCCAGTCACATGGCAAGATCAGAAGCTGAAGCTCTAGTGTTTTTCTGGGTATTTTTGTTTTGTTTTTTTCTTTTCTTAAGGCACTCAGTTCAGTTTACATTTAAAAGGGCACTGTGTTCTGGCAGGATTTGCTTTTAAAATAAAAGGTAAGGAATAGATGAGAAATTAACAGACCTCTTGAGTACATGATGACCTGTCAAAGTTTTGACACCTGACATTTGGAGAGTGGGGAGTAGATGAGAAATAACACAGTAAGCTTTTCACTGACTCAAAAGGTTCAGAGAACTGGGCCTTTTGTCAGAAGCTATCAAACAACTACAATGTATTCAATGTGGACAGACCTAGTTTTCCACCTACTATAAGAATGTTTTTTTAATATGTTTTTTCTACCCAATTCTAAACCTTCCTATCCTAGAGAATTCCACACTGAGAGTTCCAGGGTAAGACAGAGCCCATCTTCACTATAGAAGCTGAAAAGATACTTTCCCAGCTTCCCTTGCAGCTAAGTCACATTCAATCAGCTGAGTCCATGAGCTTTCAATGAGAAACTGGTGGTGCAAAGAAGTAAGGTTAAGAGAAAGGCATTCTGGTGAGGCCATCAGCAGAGCAGCAGTGTCTGATATCCAGGAACAGAGATGGTGACTACAGTGCACGGGGAATGTGCTCTGCTCAGGGGAGATCTCAGCAGTGTTCTTACTAGGCTGCTTCTCAGGCATGGTTTTGGCCTTAGTCCTGGCTGCCTCCCTTTGTTCCACCTCATTTTCTAAGCCTGAGTCTTCCTATAATTCTATGAGCTCCCCAACAGTCTGTCAATAAAATAGTTTTCTTCTTAAATCAGCCAGAGTTGATTTCTATTGTTTATAATTAGGAACTCTGATGGATGTACTAGTTATGGGACTTGGACAAGTTATTTAATCTCTCAGACCCTCAGCTTTCCTAGCTGTAAAATAGAGATCATACTTCTATGTCTTTCATTTATTCACTCAGCAAATATGTAATTACTAAAAACCTATAGGATCTCCTACACTCATAGACTTAGAGTCTGATGGGAAAGACAGAGATTAACAAGTTTTCTTGTTAATCTAATAAATTAACAGAAATAGTTTATTAATGTTGTGGAATATTTTATGAAAAATTCATAGAAGCATAATTTATAAAAGCCCCCAAACAAGCCAAATGTCTGTCAACTCGTGAGTGGAGAAACAAAATGTTGTATATCTGCACAATGGAATATTATTCAGCCATGAAAGAACTGAAGTATTGATATATACCGAAACATGGGTAAACCTTGAAAACATTATTCTAAATGAAATAAGGCAAGCTACAAAAGACTACATATTGTATGATTTCCTTTATATGAAACATCCAGAATAGGCAGAAAGTAGATTGTTGGTCTCCAGGGGCTGGGGATCCAGGAGGGGAGATCGAAGGTGATTGTGGAAGGTGACAGTTTTCATTTGGGATGATAAAAATGTTCCAGAATTATGTAGTTTATCAGTGGCGATTGTTGACAAATCTGTGACTCTACCAAGAACTACTGAATTGTATAGTTCAAAAGGGTGAATTTTAGAGTAGATGAACTGAACTAATCTCTAAAGAGGGCTCTCACTCTTATTCCACTCCTCACCTCTGTCTTCCCTTTGTGCCCTATCCTCTTTCTCTCCAAATGCAGACAGCTTTTCTCAACACTGCTGAGAAAGATAAGCCTTTGGTAGTCCTAGATGCACAGACTTCTAGCTTAGCAGCCCCATAAGAAACAAATGTCCTCACTCTCTCCAGGTCTCTTGAAATCAGTCTTGAAAGACCCTGATGGGCTCTGCTTAGGTCACATGACCATGGGAAAGCTAATCACTGGGGGTGGGGGGAGGTATCAGTAAGGACTATGACTGGCTCAGCCTGGTTACCTGGCAACTCCTGTGGTGGGAGGTGGGCTCTGTGATTATCAGCCCCACCAGAACCCGCATAAAGGGGGAAGTCTTCCCCCAAAGGAAAGGAGTAGCTGTTACCAAAAAGGTGGGGATGGGATGGGGTGCTTGACCTTCTGTCCCGCTTCACCATGATCACTACAGAAACCAAGTCTGTTCTTTGGGTGCCAGAAAAACCTCCCTAGACACAGTTAAGACCTAAAGAATGAGTTGCAACTAGTGAGATAAAATCCATACCTGAGGAAGAATGTTACAGGCGGAGATAACAAATCATGGGTCATAATACAGTTGTCTTGAACAACACAGGTTTGAACTGGGAGGGTATAACTGCAGGTTAAAAAGTTCAACTATGAAATCTTGCATCATCCTGCCCCATTCTGCCTGGGATGTGAATCATTCCTTCATCCAGCGTATCCCATCTCTTAGTTCCCGAGTACCTGTCTGGGTATTATCAGATTGACTGTCATGGTATTGCATGCTTGTGTTCAACTGACACTTATTTTACTTAATAATGGCCCCACACCCTGGCACATTACTGGTGGGGTGCACATTGATTAAGCCTCTCTGGATGGCAGTTGGACAATCCCTGTCAAATTCAAAATTCCTACACTCTTTGACTTGGAAATTATCATCCCAGGAACGTAACCAACAAATATTTTGGTAAGTGGGGAAAAGGTGTGTATTCAGGTTAATTACCATGACATGGTCAGAAAGGATTGGAAACCAGCTGCCAAGGGGGCATCAGTGAACTAGATTATAATGTTTCCACAATAGGATAAGACTTGCTCAAGGAATAAAGGGCTTCACCTCCTTGGTGGCTCAGTGGTAAAGAATCTGCCTGCCACGTAGGAGCCTCAAGTTTGATCCCTGAGTTGGGAAGATCCCCTGGAGGAGGAAATGGCAACCCACTCTAGTAGTCTTGCCTGGAGAAATCCATGGACAGAGGAGCCTGGTGGACCACGGTCCATGGACCACCGACCACGGAGTCTGACTGCAAAGAATCAGGACACAACTGAATGACTTTCACTTTACTTTGTCCAGTGAAGTGAGGTTTGTCCTTCGAAAGTTGCCTCTTTTATGGAACCATCCATGATTTCCCCATAAAAGAATACGTTCCTCCCTCCAACTGTGCCCCTTGACTATTTTGCACACATGTACCATACATGACATTTTATTACAATGGGTCAGTCTCCCCAAATGATGATCATAATCTCAAACATTTATTAAGCATCGACTATATGCTTGGTGCACCACAAACATCTTACTTAACTCTCACAAGAACCCCACATGGGTCCCTAGGCTACAAGTGTTATTACTGCAGAGCTCATCTGAGTATATGCTTGGGGGTTTTTTGTTTGGCTTCGGGGTTTTTTAATTTCACCTTGCTTTTGCTTTTGTATGCTTTGGAGCATTTGTTTCTTTTCTGTGCATTTTTTCATTCTTGTTCTTCCAGTGCCTAGCATTGGCACATAGCAACAAATAATTTTTAAATGAATAAATGTTAGTATCACTTTCACTAATAAGGACACTCAAAAGTAAAGACTTGATTGAACTTGCCCGTGGCTCTCTCACTGTGCCCAACTGTGCTGGTGATTGAGGACAATCCCTCATTCATCTTTGTTTCACCAGTGGCAGGACTTTAAGGGGTGTTCAGTAAGTACCAAATAAAATCTTGGAGAAGGAATAAATGAATATTTGGTTACTGCATATCCCATAGGATTATAACTTGATGACAATGAATCAAAAAAAGTAGAGTAACAGCTAAATTCTACCACAAGTGTACAGAAATCAACTTTCTCGTTTATGACATGGAAATGCTGTAACTCACCATAAGAAATACTAGGAAGAAAATACGTCCGTCTATGTAGTGAACAAACTCGTGGTTTCCAAGGGGAAGGGAGGTGGGGAGGGAAGAATGGCAATTTGGGATTAGTCGATGTAAACTATTATATTTATAATAGAATGAACAAGCAACAAGGAACTACTGCCTAGCACAAGGAACTATATTCAGTATCCTCCAATAAACCATAACAGAAAAGAATATTTTTTAAATGAATGTCTATGTGTGTATAACTGAGTCACTGCTGAATAGCGGAGATTGACACAACATTGTAAATCAACTATGCTTCAAATTAAAAAATAAAATTTAAAAGAAAGAAAATATGTCTGCCTAACTTTCTTAGGTAAAAGAGACTTTTAAAATAGCCCTCCTCCTCCTCTTATTTTGTATGATTCCTGGCATGGCGGCATGTAAATCAAACATTTGTAGACCAAATTGATTTAAATATTGCAGAAACTCTTTTTCAAGAAACACTACTGGGAAAATGAAGACTGCTTCAATAAAATGAAAACATTCTGCTTCAACGAAGTGAAATCAGCTCCCAGTTTGTGTCACATATGGGCCCAGCAGGTTACAAAACTGCTCCAATGGTTTAATGTAAGAGGTTTTAATGAAGGCATAAGTTATGGAGGTGTGGATAGAGTTACGGGAGCTCTCAAGAGGGCAGCAGGAAGCTGTTGTTACCTCTGGGTCTTCAAGGGCAAGGGGAGAAAAGCAATTCTGCAGAATCCAATGAGAACTGAAATCAGGGCAGAGGAGCTGCCTGGCAGGAACCAAAGTTATGGAAGACTCGGGCCAAAGGTGCTGAAGCAAAGAGGAAGAAATATTCTGACTTCTCTCCTCCCACCCTCTGATTCTTCGTCTGTAACTCCATTTACCAAACCCAAATGGAAACCAGAGGGCAAGGGAACCCAGATGAAGTGGTCTATAGGGCTCAGCCCTAGGTCTAGAATGTGTGTGTGTGTGCGCTAAGTCACCCAAGTCGTGTCCAACTCTTCACAACCCTATGGACTATAGCCCACCAGCCTCCTCTGTCCATGGGCTTCTCCAGGCAAAAACACTGGAGTGTGTTGCCATGTCCTCCTCCAGGGGATCTTCCCGACCCAGGGATTGAACCCCAGTCTCTTATGTCTCCTGCATTTGCATGCGGGTTCTTTACAACTAGTGCCAGCTGGGAAGCCCCTAGGTCTAAAGAAGGACAGAAAATGATTGTGGGGAAGGGAAAAGGAGAGATGCTGAGAGTCACCTGCCTGGTCCACCCTGTAGCATCCACTCAGCATCCATCCTGTCCTTCACTCAGATGAAGAAACTCTCATCCCCAACATTATTGAGACACCAAGTCTAACAAACTGCCTTGTCATGGAAAGGAGATCTCAGAACA